CCCGACAAAATCTAAACAAGCCAAAGAAGAAAAAAGAATAGTTAGTAAATATTCAAAAAAAAATAAAGAAAAAAAAGGAAAACTAACTACTCACCAAGAGCTACGTCCACGCAATTTCCAGATCCAACGAAGACAAGACAAGCCTCGTATGAAAAAAAAATGCTTAAAAAATTGAAAAAAGATTAGTAAAGAACTAAAAACATCAAAACCAAATCCACAGTGAAAAAATGCATATAACCACTTATAAGAATGCCAGAAAAGAATGCAAAGCCTTTCCACAAAAACGCCGAAGAAACACGTAAGTTCACAAGAACGCTGGAGAAATCCCACAAAAAAGTTGGGATGCATGCAAGACCACCCTACAGAAACATTCTGCAAGACCACCCCACAAGTCACCAGCGACACAAAATCAATTCACGAAATCTAATGGTGGTACCAAACCAACGATGACAACAACACCAGCAATAACAATGACACCAATGACGACACCAGCGACGACAAGACACCAGCAACTACAAGGCAGGGACACGGAAAAATATCGTTTTAATTTGTAAAAAATTCATTTCGATATAGTAAAAAAATTCTTTTTATAGCGATATAAAATTTTACACCTATTTTATCTATAGTCAATTCTCCGCAAGTGCTCCTTTTTTCTTCACAATAAAATATATTGCATTTAGATAGTTATTATCATAAGTTGTAATTAGATCTCTCTATAAGTGCGCATTTTCTAGATGGAGAGCTCACTCTCTATAACTTTGTGACCTCCCGACTAACTCATCTATATTTCATATATCTTGATATCTTCCGAACTTTTCTGAAACTTTCTGACGTTTCTAATTATATTACCTGGCCCAAATTAAACATACACTGCTCTTAATTTTGCCAAAAATTCATTGCTGTCAAAAGTTCCGTTTTATATCGTTTTGTACTAAAAATTCCGTTTTATTCATATCTATATATATCTGAATTTTTCCGTGTCCCTGCTACAAGGCACCAGCAACGACAAGATACCAACAACACCAACGGCGAAAAGCAGCAAGCTAAAAAAAAAATAAATAACAAGCGAAAAAAAATTAATAACAAGCGAAAAAAA